TCATTTTACAGCCTAGCGAGCGCTGCATTTTATTCCTCTTTACCATAAATGTGTTATTGGTTACAAAATGCATGATAGGGCCACTTATTATAGCTCTCAGAGTCTTCTTGGGTACTTTGAATACAAATTCAGTGTTCATTATATACCGAGCCTGAGCTTGGCTATTTCAGTAATGCATTACTGGAATGCTATTGGGCATTTAAGTTGCACAGCAGCGTTTGTGTTGGCATGAAAGGAAACACTTAGCAGCAGCCTTTAAGCACCCCCGTTCCTCATTCTTTTTTTTCTCCCCCTCCTCAACAGCAGACAGAAATATGCTAAATATGCAGCAGAGTGACCCGAGTCCATAGATCAAGGTTTATTTTTAGGAGAGGCACCTCACTCCCATGCTCCACCCAGGTTTTCTCATTATCTGTACCAGGGTTAGCACATGCAGAGATAATGGCTGAATGCCTGGCCTCCCACTCACTCCTGAGACACGTGGATAGGTCACATTTTTTGCTCTTTATGGCAGAAAAACACCAAACTAATAACATGTAAGCCAATCTATTTCAGATATGCACATTTGAGTATCCATGGTAAACTTCCCTTAAAGTCAGTGCACCCTTGTGAGCAAGCTGGCCGCACACAAATCAAACACCAATAGGCTCATATCCTTCAGCACAGGTGAGTTATGGGGCTATTAACATAGCATGAAATTAGGTTCCTGACAGTAAGCACCTATAGCAGCTTTAAATCACTGCACGCAGAGAAACCTGTGCTTGTACAGTTGGGTAATGGCATGAACGTGGCTGGAATAACACTGGAATGCAATGCAGAGTAATGAAAACGGAGCTTTGCAACAGTATGCTGCAAGGACTCGCAGGATGTTGTATTAATTATACTTCCTCTAACTTCGGCTCATTATGCAGGAGAACTCCAGAACAGGTTTGAAATGATAATGATGTCTTTGGGACTTGTTTTTAGAAACAAAGTTATACATAGACTCGACTGAAAGCTGCAAAACCTGCTGTATTTTAATGAGCTGGTAGCTGTTGTGCAGCTTCCCATCATATTAACTCCTTGTTCTGAGTTTGTGCTTGAGCTTGAAAACAGTTTTATCATTTGTTGACTCCCTCATAAAACTGTCACTGCGCTTCGTGTCCTCGAAGAGATCTTCTCTGGCATTTTCTTTGTGCACTAATAGTAGAAGTAAACTGGATTTGTGAAGCACCTTTCTTGAAAGCAATGATCAGACCTTAGGATGTTTCATAAAGAAGTCCCAAGGCCTGTTTCTGTGAAGTCAGGCAGCCGTGGCTCAGGAGACAGCGTAGGTCATCCACTA